TCCACAAAGAATCAGAAGACATAGCTAATCCATCACCAGCCTATGCTGCTGCTCAGCTGAAGAAGAGATATGTGACCTCGCCATCCGCGAAAGAACAAGAGTAGAGGGTTCAATTTAGCATTGAGAGAACAAAATCGCACGACGGAGAAGAATAGAAGTGAAATTGCTCCTAAACTTTGTAGCATCTGGGGGATAAGCACAGACGTCTCCGTACCGATCCCTCAGACTCTACCTAGCTTGTTCGTGAATTGTGAGACCTAAGTAACCTAGGGCTCTGATACCTACTTATCACGACCCGGATTTTCCTCCGTCGGGATCGTGATGGCGCCTAACTTTACAATTGCTAGGCAAGCTAACATATAAAAATTAAATATGCTAACCCTTAAAGCAATTCTCTAAATGACAATAATTTAAAACATGACAATATAATGAAATGCGGAAGTTTATAATTACTCAAATATCTCAACACAACTACCCAAAATCTGGTGTCACAACTCACGAACTTCTAAGATTCACTACAAATATTGATTGAAAGAAAATACAACTGTCTTTGAATTAAAATAAAAACAGTGAACTGAAATGACTGGAAGGGGACTCCAGAGTCTGCGAACGCCGACAGATCTACCTTGGGTCTCTTGAAGGACTAAAGGCAGCACCTCAACTCGGACCGGTGCCAAAATCTGCATAGAATGTGCAGAGTGTAGCATCAGTACAACCAACCCTATATACTAGTAAGTGCCAAGCCTAGCCTAGGCGAAGTAGTAACGAGGCTAGAATACGACAATAACATGAACCTGTGCAGTTAAATCATATACCAGCAAATAATCACAGGTAGAAATTAAGCAATTAATAATGGGAAGGGGGAAAACATGCTAAGGGGAATATCAAATTCTGAAAATAGTACAGCAACGAAATGCAATAAATAACATGCTTTGCACCAACGCCAGTAATAAACATAGCAAACAAGTGCACGACATCACCCTTTGTGCTTTTACTCTCATCCTCACCATAAGAAACAATAAAAACGACACGACATCACTCTTCGTGCTTTTACTCTCTTATAACATGGCACGACATCACCCTTCATGCATTATCACTCACAGAATATGGCACGACATCACCCTTCGTGCTCTTACTCTCTCATAACATGGCACAGTATCACCCTTCGTGCATTATAACTCAATCACAAAACATTTTACGGCATCACCCGTCGTGCTTTAACACTCACTCACAAAACATTGCACGCATTACCCTTTGTGCTTTAACACCCTCCCTTACCAAAACAATGATCAATAACAATAGAGAGATAGAAATATCATAACAACAGGGAGAAAGAAATATCATAAACCAGTCTTACTTCAATGTTTAATTCCACAATACCAGCCTCAACTCTGAGTCAATACTCAATCAATACCAAACTCCGCAAAACATGATAAGAATTTCTCGACACATGGAATATCAAGTCTAAACATGGAATATATGATCAAAGAGTACCAGAGTTACAAGAATAAGACTAAATCGCATGATATGACCCGACAACAACACATAGGTACTCGTTACCTTACCTATACATTGTACACAACATCAAAACACGTAGCAAATAGGCAGATAATACCTAATTCCTCAAGTTAGGGTTAGACCTAACACTTACCTCGATTCCATGGCCGAACTCAAGCCTCAATCACCGCTTTTCCCTTAGTTTCCACCTCCAAACCACTCATATCTAGTCATAATTAACTTAATAATATCAATTATTGCTAAAGAATCAATCTCAATACACAATTACAAGTTTCCCAATATTTTTCCCAAAAAGTCAAAAACCGACCCCAGGTCCACTTGGTTAAAACTCGAGGTTCGGACCAAAACTCATTCACCCACGAGCCCAAATATATAATTAGTTTCGAAATACGACCCCAAATTGAGGTCTAAATCCCAATTATACAAAAATTCCTAATTCTACCCAAACCCCCAATTTCCACCATGAAAACCCTAGATTTTTGTTAAAAGTTGATGAAATACAATGGATAATTGAAAGAAAGTAGTTTAGAATCATTTATCAACACTTTGTGAAAGAATTTGTCTCTTGAAAATCGCCTCTATGCCTTATAGTTTTTGAAAATATGAAAAAATGGCTCATTCCCGTTTTTGCTTCTATTTTAAGTGCTCGGCGACAGTGTTCATCGCGATCGCGTGAACACTGTCGCGTTTGCGAAGAGCAGCCTTACCAGGACTTACGCGATCATGGGAATCACTACGCGTTCGCGAAGGTTTAGACCCCGCCCTTCCTTCGCGTTTGCGATACGAGACTCGCGTTCGCATAGGATTTCTCAATTCCTCTGACCAGCCTTCCTAAAGCTACGCGTTCGCGGTCAAACCGGTCGCGTTCGCGTAGAGCAACTCCCCCTAATGCTCCGCGTTCGCGACCCTGGTCTCGCGTTCGCATAGAGTGAAGTCTTCCCTAGCCTAGTTTCCCCTTCGCGATCGCGAGAATGGCTTCGCGATCGCGAAGCACAAAGAATCAGAATATCAGTTGCAGCAAAACACACCAGATTTTCTAAGTCTAAAACATCTCGTAGCCTATCCGAAGACCAAACAAACACACAAGTCTTAAAACATCATACTGACTTGCTCGCGCGATCAAATCGCTAAAATAGCACCTAGAATTACGAATTTAGCATCAAATTGCATGAAATTTTTAAGAAAATTCAAAAGTTCTATTTTCTCAACCAAAGGTCCGAATCAAGTCAAATCAGTTCAGTTTCTAACCAAATTTCACAAATAAGGCATAAATACCATATTAAACTTGTACCAAGTTCCGGAACCAAAATACGGGCCCGATACCAACAAGATCAACTATTAACCATTTTCACAAAACCATTACAATTTCAGTTTAACAATTTTCATCGAAAATTCGTTTCTTGGGCTAGGGACCTCGGAATTCGATTTTGGGCATACGCTCAAGTCCCATATTTTACTACGGACCCTCCGGGACTGTTAAAATACGGGTCTGAGTCTGTGTTACTCAAAATGTTGGCCGAAGTCAACTTAAATCAATTTTAAAGGCAAAACTCAGTATTTTTCTCAAATTTCACATAAATGCTTTCCGAAAATGCGTCCGGACTGCGCATGCAAATCGAAGAAAAAGAAAATGAGGTTTTGAAGGCCTCGGAATCCCGAATTGGGTTCTAAAACACGAGATGACCTTTTGGGTCATCACAGATTACAGCTAGACAGATTATTGTATTCGACTGTATTCACAGTGTGAAATAGGGGATTACAGCTAGACAGATTATTGTATTCGACTATATTCACGATATGTATTTGTGAATACAGTAACGTAAATAGCGTAAATCGTGGTCTATTCAGCTATTTTTAAACGGAAAGTGAATCAATTAACACAAATAGACTCCTAATATAACTCAATAAACTAAATTATAAATCTGAATACATAAATACATCTAAATATATAAATTATATTAATTAAAAAAATATATGAATACATTCATGGAATATAGCGAAACAGTGAATACAATGAAATACATGGAATATAGCGAGATACATTGAAATACAATGAAAAAAAGACAATGAATACAATAAAATACATAGAATACAACGAAATACATTAAAATACAATGAAAGACATATGTATTATATCAGCTCAATTCAAGTACTTTTTCTTGTTTGCCACTATTACACTGCCACCGACGCCGACACCAAACTGATAAGATAATTTTTTACAAATTTACAATTCAAAATATTTGGCAGCGTGTAACTGACGCTGAAGGTGTGGGCCCATCTCCACTGCCGTCAATAGAAATTGTGCCTTTGTTAAAGGAAGAGCCGGAGGAAAACGATTTGCGAGGAGGCACTATGTTAGTTGGGCTAAATATGCAGCTGCAAAAGGTAGAAAAAACGCATCTAAAAGATCCTCAAAAGGCCGGCACACGAAAGTTAAAGGCCGTGGTCGGAGAATCCGGATGTCGGCGGCCTGCGCTACTAGAATCTTCCAATTAACATGAGAACTAGGCCATAAATCCGACGGTGAGACTAATTTATCAACGCCGAGCATGAGATCTGAAGCTGGTATCCGAAGTAGGCCATGAGGTCTGATTCGTTAAAACAAGAGAAATTTTCATGGAGAAAGACTAGAGTTGAGAGAGAGTGCGTGGAGAAAAATCTGATAGAATGAGAGAGAAAAATAATACAAAGCGTATTTTATGGCTTAAGGGTAGGAGGTGACCATAAATAGATATTTGGCTATAAAAATCAAAAGATAGCTATGAAATATAATTTTTTAAAAGGATATTTATTTAAAATAAATAAAATTTATACCTTTGCTACAGGAGGTAAAAATTTCTTTTTTTAAAAGGCCATTCTAATATAGGAACTAACCTAAAATTCTGGGCTGGGCCACTGGTGTACCCCATATCCAGCCCAACAACTCAAATAATCTGACACATGTGTAAAGTTGGGATGGATCGGAATCTTTGCTTATCAAAGATGTTCCAAGAAACAAAAGTGGGGCCCACTGGACCCACTTCTTTTTCTCGCAATAAATGCTCATCGACTCGCTCTTACCCAAAACTCAATCACCAACACCCACAGTGCATCTTAGCATCCACACGGCAATGGTTTACGTAATTGCACGTACTGACACAAACGAACGAAATGCTAAAATGCGCCACTTCTGCATTTTCACCTCACAGTAAAATGTATGTATGTATACAACATTTGTGGAGAGAGAAACGCTATATTTCACACTCTTCAGTCAATTTCAGTGTACATGTACATTTGTGAAGTAGAAATTTGCTAAAATACGCACATTTCAACTGCAACCTATACATACACCATTTCTGTGTCTATACATTGACCTATAGATACAAGTGCGTACCTATACATTTGTGAGGAGAAATTGCTAACACACGCACTACTCCACAGTTGTACCGACATACACATTTCTGTATCTATACACCTACTTATTGATACTCATTCAGGTATGTGTACATATACATTTGCAGAGGAACAAAATCCTAAGTTTAATAATCTATACTTTTGGAGATATTTAAACCTAGTTTTCTTCCTTTTTTCTTCGGAGATGAGTTTTCGATTTCTGTATAATGTGCAGTTATAATGTTGATATTTTTCTTAAATGCTTCAATAACTGAGCTTTCTTTTTCAAGAAAATGTAGCTATGTTTTGTGTTTTTTGAAGGTTTGGGTGATTTGAAGTGGTGTTAGTTGCTTAACAAAATGTTTGGGTTCTCGAAACGGCGAATGAAGCTCGGGAGGTAATGGAATGCTTATTAATGCCTAGAAACCATATGTGTACCTACAATGTGTGTATTTTTGTGCACTATTTTTGTGTGTGTGTGTGTGTACTGGTGTGCTTAAGTTTCCTTGAAAGATTGCTCTTTAGTGTTTAGGATTGCTTTTATGGCAATATACTCCGGAGATTATGCATATTTTAATTTCAAAAGAAATTTTGTTTTTTTAGAAGTCAAGAGTCTTTATTTAATCTCACCAAGATAAGGTGAAAATATACATACAGCATGTGTATGACGCTTAGTTTAAGAAATTATCAACGTGTTAAAGTTAGTTTTATTTGGTTTCTAGAACTAAGTAATAATTTAACGGGTTGCTGTTTAAGGTATTTTCGCAATGGACTAGGCTAAGTCCATAGTCTTCTCCTTGTTTAGAGTCAGTTGTAATGGCAAAAGAGCTGAGGATTTTCTCCTCAAAATAGGGAGTTTGGAGATGTTTAGCAGATCTCTGCTATGTTAAGTTTCGATGGGTTAATTAAGTAGGCCATGAGCTTTTTCTAAGAGATGTAGCTTTGATCCTTCTTGGAAAACTATGAATTGCATTAGTAAAAGATCAGGTACTGAGTGTGTTATTCATTTGACATACGCCTCAATCCCAAACTAGTTTGGGTTGTCTAAAATAAATCCTCTGAACAAATTGCACGTCCATTTCAGATTTTCATGTGTAAGATGCCATTGCAATCTCTAGTACAATTTTGACATGCTGTATACCTTATAACAGTGATATGAAGTCCTTGTGTACCTAAATTGCCAAAATCCTTCTATTGATACTCGAGGCTTTTTCATCTCTCACTCACGTGCTGGACTTCTTAAGGATATGAGTATCCTCAATATAGCAAAGAATGTTACAGAATCCTATGCCTTCTGAACCATATCCTAGTTATATTTGTCTGAGCTCGTCACTGTTTTACTTAGGTTGAGCTCACCTCAAGGAACTAGAAGTCCGATGAGGCACCCTAAACGTTTTAGCAATTCCAGTGTAAGACCTCTATTGTAACTTTTCCTTCTGTTGCATAAGAGAAGCATGAAGTTAAAGCTCTTTATGAATGACAGGGTGAAGCTGTTCCTCACAGTAATAATGATTCTGAAGAAAAGAGCTGTCAATGCTCATCAGGTGCACCGGAGTTTAACAACTGTGCTTCAGGTGGCACAGAAAATTGGATGCTTCTTTCTATAGCTGGAGAAAAACCTACACCTCGCTTCAATGTAACCGACTATTTTCAGATATCACATGTTATTAAAATTGCAATGCTTTAGAACTTAAACATCTTTCTCTTGCTGAGCAGCATGCAGCAGCTGTTGTTGGAAACAAAATGGTGGTTGTCGGTGGAGAAACTGGTAGCCGATTGTTAGAAGATGTTCAGGTAAAATGGTGGTTGTTCCTTTAGTTTCCTTATCTCAAGTTTGATGACTCCTGCCTAGAAATTTAAACATAAATATTGATCTTTTCTCGCGATTCAAACGAGAAAATGTTCGATTTCACTATGGAGTTCGAAGGCTAACTTTCACTAAAGATCAACATCAAACATTTTTTGGTTGATAAGTAAGAAATTACAATATTAAAGAAGATACGTTGAATTTAGAAGTTAGATTTTGAAGGAAACAAGAAGATATGTTGAATTTAGAAGTTAGATTTTGAAGGAAACACACATACCAGGAAGAGAAGTGTAGAATAAAAGACATAAATAGACAGAGATATGACTTAAATCTCCGTGCCCAATAGTAAGAAGAAGCATCTTTGTCTTGGTTTCTTGGAGAGATTTTCAATATCATGGAAACCTTTCTTTTTTCTCGCGGATCATTTAAGTCACAAGAAAAAAGTTCAGCATCTGTGTTGATCCTTGAAAAGGGGGAAATAATTAGATTGTAATTGAGACGAGTCTCAATCATTAGTATCGTGCAACTTGCTTCTTAGGTGGCATACTTGATACCAATGGCTTGCATTCATTTTCTTTTCAGGTTCTAAATTTTGATAGCTTTTCCTGGACAACAGCTTCATCAAAGCTCTACCTCTCGCCCACTAGTCTTCCTCTAAAGATCCCAGCGTGCAAGGGCCATGCTTTGGTAACCTTTACTCCAACTCTTCTAGTCTATTCTGTTGCTTCCTTTTTAGATTTTACTTGTCAAGAAACTGTAATGGATATAGAGATGTACCATGTCTCGGTGATATGTCTCTTTCAAGCGAGAGTTTGTAGGTTTTGAGAACCTGCTAATGGAAACACACAATGACCTAGATAATACCTAGTTAAAGCAACTTAAAAAGCTTCCTATGTGAAAATGTTATTTATCTATTAATTTGACAAAAGGTAAAAAAAACTGAAGTTCACTTTTCTAAAATGTTGTCTGTGTGATATTTCCTCTATCCTATTTTAGTTGATATAGTTGTCACGGAGATTAACAGAAGAAAGTTTGGATAGGTGGTATATCTGAGTTTGGGTAGGAAGACGTCAAAATAATAGATGGAAAATGGTCTGCAAAAGAATATCTTTGAGTGGTTGAGGTATAGGAATAACAAACTTGGGGATTCCAGGTTCGAATCCAACTACGACACGCAGTGTGAGTCCATCTGCTCCAACCTTGATGAGTAGGTTTATCCAGTACATGTGTTTGTGGGTTGTGGTAGGCTGCCTGACAGATTAGTTCAGGTTAACCTAAGCTGGCCCCAATGCCACTTTCTAAAAGGAATAGTTATTATAATCGCATGATGCAGAGGGTGTGTAAATCGTTGATTTTACATTTTAGGAAAGAAATCATTTTTGAAATAGCTTAAAATAGCTAGCAGGGCAAACATAATGGAAGAGGGAGTGTATTGGGTGTTTGGAGAACATATACATGAATATAGTCCGAAATGTCTGATCACAACGATATTTGATATCAGTACTTGAATACATGTTTTACTTTTATGGTAGGGCTGATGTTTGCTGTTCTGATCTTATAATGCAATATTATTGTTAATCTCATTGATGTATCCTTTTATGATGCTACGGATGTCGTGTTGGAGTACTATTCATCAGAAACTTTATCTGTTATTTCCCAGGTTCAATGGGGGAAAAAGATTCTTATGGTTGGAGGGAAAACTGACCCTGCAAGTGACAAAGTCTCAGGTTCATTTTCTTATAATTCTACGGTGTTTCTATCTATTCCAACTGTGCTTTCCACAATATACTTCTTTCGAAATTGTCTTTTGTAGTCTGGGCATTTGACACTGAAACTGAATGCTGGTCACTTCTGGAAGCTAAAGGAGATGTTCCGGTAAAGTTTCATGTCCTCTTGTGCAATCTGATTGTGCAAATCCTTTTCTACTTTGTGATATTCACTTCAGAGGACTGATAGCTCAGCTCATGTGAGAATGCACGGGAGAAAATATGATATTATTCACATATCTTAACAATGATACAATGAGCCCTATATATATA